CATGAGAGCCGCACGTAAATTTAGATTCATTGGTAGAGTGGGACCTATCGCAGAACAATTCTCTCATCACCATACTTGTATTTTACAAGTTTTACTCTGACGTTACTGCTATTGCCAGTATTAGAATTTTCTTTTAGACAGTTTATCATATTAACGTACTATTTCATGCCTCGCCGGCGTGAAGTGTTCGATGGTAATTGTCGAGAGCTGTTTGTACGTAAGTTATGTTCGATCATGGAACAGATAGTAAATCACGTATGTGCGTACATGGACATATTTCATCATTGGGACACTGTTCTCTAACCGCACATCTCCGTAGACTTTGCGAGCCGAGCTCGGCGAAGAGATGCAGCCGAGCTTTAACAAACTATACTTGCAAGCGCTGTTTTCTCTCTTTCTATGAATCAAAGCGAAACAGATAACGGATTAATTTGTACTTAATCCCTAACATTTCATTATTATAAGATTATACTTGTTTAAAATATGCGTGCCGGCTTTGGGAGTATAGAAACCGCCATTTAGTATACGGCGTGCTGAGCTGTACAAATCAGATGCGGCATACTTCGAAATCGTCGCATGACCGTGCAGGAATTACTCAGAAAACAACATGCAGCGTTACCTTTTCGTGTCCCTGCTCATTTTTTTTCGTTGCGCTTCTAAATCAAAGCAAACAGCGACCTTATCGCGCAGTTGCGTCCCCCAAATCACAGATCCTATGCCACTGGTTTCGTTGCTATGAACGAAATTATATAGGCACTAACATGTTATATAACGACGAATTTCACGAGAGTTAATTAGCTGTTAGTTAAATAATTAGAAAAATCCTAATTAACTAACCGATCAGAGCATTTTAGCCGCAGCCGTTAGTAATAAAATTATACACATATTCTCACGCACTAAATACAGATTGGATTTCGGCTGGTAGCACTGAATTTTCATCATAAAACTAGGCTTTTTTAATTGAACATTTTCATTATACAGAATGCAGTTGTAAATCTCTGACACAGCTCGATCTGACCCCTCGGTTTATAGGCTACTAGATCTACAAAACTGTTATTCAAAGCTGTGCAGACGCCAATGTGTTACATCGAAATTAGGGTGTTTACTAAATTCATGAGATCGTTTATATTCGTCAGTCACTCAATGCATATACGAAAGTTTATTAGAGTTGGCCACCCATTTACGCTAGCTAGTTATTTATGGTTCGATAATTCTAACGACTATACCAGCCCGTTTAGTGCCTATTTTCGTATGTTAAAAAAATGTATTTTGCCAAATGTTGAAAGCCATAAGCTACTGTGTTTTTTACAGCTAGAGGAAGCAGGTTGTTGGTCTAGAACTGCAGATATAGCTAATAAAATTAGTTTTCTCAAAGTTCACGCATCTGAGGCTTTTTTATCTGATTCCTTTTCCAATCTTCTTGTTTTCTATTTTTCAGACTGCTAACAAAAATGAATAGTGTCTACTACCAATTTCGACCCTGCGGCTTGCATGTATTCCTGAAATTAGTGGGCAGATATGGCCATTAGCTGTTTTTACTAAGCGCCTAACGGCCGTTTATTTAATAGGAGTAACCTGTTATAATTCATAAAGTAAAAGTTAGGATTGTTTTTAGGGAAAAAATGCGACGCCACACGCACACATACACACACACACACACACACACACACACACACAGAGTCGTCTACTCATGTAAACTGCGGTGTTTTAATGTCAAGCATAGAGTGGCCGTCCATTAGTCACCTTCAATAAGACCTATCTAAGGTCTTTTGTGAGTCGTTTGATGATCAAATTAAGTAACGTTGTTGACCGAGCTGTTGCTAGTAATGGTACACAAACCAATTTGGCATAAGTATTGGTCGTCTAGTCGTCACAAATCAGTTAGCGTATGAACGCGCGAACGGTAACGAAGATATGAACTTGCAAAAAAAGATGTGGGAAACTGCTGTCAATATGAGAGGGACACGCATAGAGGTTGCGTGCTGGGGCTCCATAGAACCGGCAGAAATGGTACCTAAATAGGTACGTTTATTTCCTGCTGGAGGTAAATGGTTTGATTGAGAATTCTAGGCGTTAAGGTAAAAACTTCTACTTGTTACTAATTCAACTCTGAACTAATGCAAGCCATCCTTTTTGACATTTTTCTAAACGGAAATGCTGCCGCCGCTGAGCCGCCTCGCGGCATTAGAGTTTAATATACACTCAGTTCTAGACAGTTCTAAAGCAATATGAAGATCCCGCTGGTATTCTCGCTGCTGGATCCTGGTATGTCCGTGGTACCTGTCCTGTATAATATTATGTGTGGAAAGTTTAACTCTGCACCAGAGAAGCACGCTGGCTGGAATGTAAGATGTTACTTTGATAGTTTGGCCGGCATGTTTTGTCTCGGATAGCCAGAACATTAGGGAGGCGAGTAGGTACAATTCGGTTCTTCTAAGAAGATACTGCAGACAGCCAAAAAAACGATATCTAAAAAAATAATCAATTACATATTTCTATGAGCATTTTTTTCCATTGGATTTATTTAGCTGTCCAACTATACGTTACACCGTTTTGTACGTATAGTGCTGCTATACAAACATCTATGCAACATCGGACGGTTGAGTAAATGATCATAATATTCTTTTATAATTTGAAACGTCAACATTTATACGTGATTACTCTACGTATGCGTCACAATGTCGTACTATAATATAGTTCACACGTATTCATGAGAGAAAATGATCCCACCTTGATCATTTGGTAAGGTTCACTAAGGCTTTTGATTACAGTTCTTGCCAGTCATCTATGTGGGTTTCATGTTTGCTACGATAGGTATACGCTAAAAAAAATGGAGAAATTCCTCAATCTGAGATTAGGCTTATAGGACAAGAGAGTCCACCGCCACAGTTAACCTGCCACCTCAGGTGACTGTAGGCCTAATAAATAACGAATTATTAATCCAGAATAACCAACTCGGACCCTTTAGAGAATGTGAGTATATCTAGAAATAGAAATGTAAGGTATGGGCGTTTGTAGCGGCTGTGGGCAATTGTAAGTGCAACGTATATGGCTGTGTCTGGTGTTAGATTTTTCCTGTATCAGTGTTCGTCTGTAATCGTATAATCAGCAATTTTCTACGTCACATGCAGCGTTACTAACCAAGAAGTTCATCTAATAATTTTTACTATTTCTATTTTGATGCCAAACACAATTGCCCTGAAGCATTGGTCATAACCGGCTGGTAGCCATGAACAAAGTAGTTGTGGGCCTCGTAACCCAGTAAACGAATTAAACCAATGGAAGGATGCTATATTACAATAAGGCAAACGTCTATGCCATTTGAACATGTATTGACACTTCAAATATGTTCACTGTTTCCGTCATTCTGGTAATGGAAAAAAATCGCAGAAACTCGCAGATGTTCTCGTTGATCTAAAAGGAGCGAGCGATCTCAATTTGACAGAGCTAACATTACGATTTGGTTCGTGACGTCGTTCTTCACGAGTTCTTTTTATCATGATTACGATTACTGGACGCATGCGATTACATTTAGTATTTCTAATTATTCTTACAGATTATTTTTGTAGATACCTATTAGATTTATACTTTTTCTCACGGAATTACAGGACATTGACAACACGAAACAGTCTGCCAAAGATAGCTTCTGATTTGCCTGGAATATATTTTAGTTCAAGCTATTCGGTGAGGGTTTGTGGAGAGACGTCCCTCTTTTTATACCTTCACCTATTATTTGACAATCGATAAAATATCGCCTTTCTATGAGCTTTGATGTGTAACAATTTCATTGTTGCCACTATTTAGTCGCATATGAAAACGATAATTATTATTCCATTTTTCTCGACCTACGACAAAGCAAAGGCAAAAATTCGATTTTTATTTTATTTGAGTGATGCGAACTTTAAGATACAAACGCGCTTGCTTAAAGCGCGTTTGTATCTTAAAGAACTAGAAGAAGAAGAAAAACTATAATCTTTGTCTATTTTGACTTATCTCAGCAGGCGTAGGAGAAGACAGCAGTTTTTTAATCAAGACCGTCGCTGGGATTTTAAGGGGAAAAGACCGACTGAAACACGGTGCACAACCTCATCAGCCAACAAACTGTAACAAATCAGCCGTTCCTCGTCTACCGACTGCTTTCTGCAATTACCTCTTGATGTTCTACCATCACCAACTCTTTTTGGGTTGCTTTTTACGTTTAATTTGCATGTAAGGAGGAGCTTTAGCCTTTACCATTGCTACCAACCCTTCTAGCGCAAGGCTGACGATCAAACCTAAAAGCACTATCCTTTTAATTCACAGCTTATCTATATATATATATATATATATATATATATATATATAGATTTAAACTAGTACCGCAATAGAGCGCAGAGCTCTGTCCTTTAAATGTATATATATTTAAAGAAATAATATGAATGAAACGCAGAGGTCCGACTTGTTACCAAGGCAAAACAGACCCGAGCCTGCAACCCATCGCCGCCCAGATCGGCATTTACGGGTGATTGTGTGCGGCTCCATTCGAGCCGCGCCCAAGTTCTACTCAGCCTGATATGTTCTCTCCGGGGAAAACTTTTTCCTCCTCAAAATTTGCCGCGCGCCTCTCACTGAACGCGGAAGATGGCGGAAGCTCAGGAGCGGGGGCGGGACTAGGCTGCATCCTTCGGTGGCGGTATAGTTGGAGCGGAAGAGTAGGGGAATTAGGTCCTTTTTTAGATACATGCACCCATATCATTGCGTAATGGGTTACTGGACCGAATTCACTATGTTAACATGTCATGCCATTTTCACATGCTTTATGCAGTAAGAAATGTTTGCATGTTAGTTAAAGTTGGTTGGTAAAAAAACAAATTGCATTGTGCCGTCCGCTGGGGACCGCCTCCAGAGGGGGCGCTGGAGGCATCGCGGCTCTGCGTTGCCACGACGACATCAAGCTATGCCCTCGACAACAGCGCCACCTCGTAGCCCCATCCTCCCCTCTTTTTGCAATGGCCGCACATGTAGTCGTTTTAGTTTGTTACTAACTTGTGTGCACTGAAGTCGACTTGTTTGCCGCCTCGTGAAGGCCCGATGCTACCATGAGCGGGGTGGTAGCGCCGGTGTTGGCGCTTGCCCTTCTGGGCGTCGCTGTGGCCGACATCAAAATAGGTAAGTGCCAAGCCTAACGCTTCCGACAACGAAATCGCCCGTTCCAATTTCCATCGATGTTTGACTCCGTGTTATTGTTGTTAAGTTCCCTACTCGATCCGAACATATGAGCCATAGGCAGCCAATATGAGTTCGATACCTCACAATGTGAATTGGGCAACACAACATCGATCGTCCATCAAACAACGACGATGGCTGTTCACCAGTGTCTACTATTATTGCCCGATAGCCACTTCACATTTTAAGCGTCAGGTCCCGCTCGGACACTTGAACGAATCTAATAAAAAGCCGTACTTCAACCTCGGACAACGGTCAAACGTCACGAGCCTTGTACTAAACGACAAACAGGCAACATGTTTTGCGCCTGAAAGTGGCAATGTTTTGTAGGACTTTGTTAGAGGCCAACCTGTGTGTGAGTGCGTGTCTGACGGACGCCGGTGTTTTGGTGTGTGAAGTAGCTGCCGGTCTACGAGAGATTCAGTCACGCACAGCATCTGCAGTGAAAAAAAAAACGGGGAGCCACATACGTATCCGGCAAGCGCACGTGCTGTCACGGATTCTCTATCACTGACGCAAATCAATCTTCCGCTCTCACACTGTTTTGCTGATGCAGCAAGGATGCCACCGACCACGTGATGCTTCTAGGTAGAGTTTTTTGAAGCTTCTTGCCTACTGGGTAGCAGAAAATTTGCGTGTATTACTTATGTAATTAGCCATTCGTTCGATTGACTCTAAGCTTAGTCCAAAAAACATAGGGTGTCAATTATATCATAAGAAAAAGCATTCGCTACTACACAGGTCGTTGGATATACTCTAGAAAATAAGCGATAACAGTGTGTCCCCAACCGATTCGTGACATTATCTCACAAAAAGAACTGATATAATTTGATTATTCTATGTTAGTTAAGATGAGAAAACATAATGGAACAAGTATCGGTTAAAGATTTAGTCGAAGAAAGATAACGATCATTATCAGATTGTTGCCTGACAGGACAGTTAAACGCTGCAGGATACGATTCGAATATCGTGGCGTTTACGATATCCTACTTGGTTTCATTCGTCCTTTACTATCTCAGCAGACGACATTTACAATACGACCGAACCGCATAAAATTGCACTTTGAACCTGGCACTAACGTTTTAAGGTATAGCTTCATGTATGTAGCGCTGATTAAAATGATGCACGTTGAGACACGGTCAAGGGCGTGAGTACGACAGGATGGGTATCTAAAGTAGTCTAGGAAACTGAATAGATCGACAAGCTACATATTCAGATGTACAATTAAAGACTCAGCTAAACCCTTCGACCCGAAACGAAGTTTTTGCAATACAAAAGACACATTAAATGATATATTTTCGGCCAAAGTGACTAATTCCTGTAATACATGTCGTTAAATAAATAAATCAATTAATTCATTTCTGATAAATAAGTTGCTATTAACTACGGCTCCCGGTATCTGCTTCATAGTCGATAAGGTGTATATGTTATAAATGAACCTTTCGACGTTTTTGCCAACTGTAAGGTAGAGATGCCTTGGGGCATATGAAGAATATCTGTTCTTAGCGTAAATTGCTGGTGAAGATCACGGCTAAAGGAATTTTTTGTATGAGCTAATTAGTTGGTACAATTACGAACATGTTAATCGGATAACGTTCGAGAAATTTATTTTTGCCACGCATCCTTCATTAATCGAAGGGCAGCAGTAGGCTGAACATATTCTTAGAGGAAAAATAGTTAGCGGTACAGTGTATTTATACGTGGGGTGTTCAAATCCCGTGTCTGCAGGTGCACTGCTCGACATTTGTATCGGTTATGTCCAGATGTTTCGGAAAGATCTTAGCGTACACAGCGTTTATAATATCTGTCTAGTTGACTAATTTTTTTACCGATACGCCGTCTTGCTACTCATCCTATTTAGGGTTTTCTCCATGTTGAAACCACTCGCTTAATTGACTCGTCTCAAAGTTCCCGCTTAAATCAAATCAGCCTTAAACTCCCTTTCCTCAAATTTCTATCTATCGCTCTACCGGTGATGGTAATGTTGTCGTTGTTGTTGCTGCTGCTAATGGTAATTGATCCTGGTGCGCGGCCTAGCATTGTTGTATCATAACCACTGCAGGCAAAGAAAAAAAAGGAACGAGTGAAAAAGTTCATCCAGGACGCTGAAGCTTTATTACCTGTGACCTATCGATGGCTGTTACTGTTATTAACACTGTTTTCTGCTTTGCTCATGGCAAGATGCTAGTTGTAGATGTAGTACTGGAGTACCGAAATACTCTACAGGCCCGTATCAAACAGACGATCGCCCTTTTCTAGACCTTCTTATCGCGCAGTCCGTTTTGCTTGTGGGCTACCATATGGTAATCTGTTTATTCGCTTGTACTAAGTAACTCTATTATTGTAACATATTTGCTTCTATATAGGTTTACTTCCTGATAAGTGCACGAATAGAATAAGCTTTCAAAACGAGATTGGTGCTTATGTGAGGGTATGAGCCCCATTGCGTCCTTCTACGCAGCAGAAGAACGCAGTGGGGCTACATACGCTTCAGAGAGGTAAACCGGGTTTATTCTCGTGCATTTCCCCTCTTGTCAATGGTCTCAAAAACGATAAGCAGGTCAATCTTGAATAACGAATGGTCCTTCGCAAAGACAATAAACACTCCATACAAAATTCTGTTCCACTAGGCTTTTTCGACGTTTGAGCTGTTTTACGGTAACATTTTCTGTCGCAATAGATGGTCGCAATGATAGATAGTTTTTATGAGCTCGCGCATCGGACTGATCGTTATTTAAACGATCTCTCATGTATTGGTTCCTAGCAATGATCAGCGCATATTGATAACAAATTAGATCAATTGACACAATTGAAGATGAGAGAAAAGAATTTATTTTTACACTATTTCATAGTATATAAGGGCGTTTTATTTTTAGTAATGATATGGCTACCTAGATTGGATTCGTTCAAATTATTACTTTAACCAAGCAAACTTAGAAAAGCCAACTTTTTTCGAATCGTTGATATAAATCAGCGTTATTAGGCGTCTTCTAGGGAATATTTAAGGCGTATCTATCGAAGACCAGCCGGCCTCAAGTACTATTGGATACTTGATATTACCGATCGGTCTCTGTGCCCTCCGCATGTCGGCAGATTAGAACCCGCTTCCCAGGACTGCCGATTCGACGGCTGGGGCAGACATGTGTCCCGAAACGTCGCCTGTCCTGATATGTTCCCGCTCTTCCCGTTCTTTCTTTCCATACATCGTTACTACCAGAACCATTAGATGCTCCGGGAAATCGGTGCAATATAGGCGAGTCGTAACTACTTCATTCTATGCGGAATGGTACGACTGATTTATATTATACTGTATAACCCAGAGTCACTTAGCGCAGGACGATTGACTACCTGTGTATCATTATGGTAAAATCGAGCTACAGGTGATCAGTGATTTACAATATGACATAGTGCATGTGGTAAACTGTCGAAAATTTGCACAGACTTAGACCAGGTGAGTTCACGAAAAAAACTTCATTGATGGCTGGCCAAGTAATAAATAGCATCATAAAGTTAATAATAACTAGGAAAAGTGAAAATTCAGTTAATTTAAAGTTAGTAGACCTATATAAATTAAAAATTGTAACTCTCGACCAAAGTTATAACTTTTGCCTATCTCCAAATGCATTTGTACTTGTGTAATACTTGTGTAGCAGTTCACGAAAATCTGCAACAAACACGTATCGACAGTACCTACTTGTTTGCATGTCCATAAAGATATTTTATAAATGTATGTTAGTATGCAATTCACAGCGCATGACGCGCACGTATATCGTTAAGCTTGTACGATAATTTAACTTTTATAAAGATCTCCTGGCAGCAGGATAGAAACGTGATGTAAGGACTCGACACGATGATGGTCGAAACCTTCTCGTTTATAGAGGTTAAAGGGTGTCGTTGAAATTCACAACAGGAATAATGACTAGCTGGCTGCTTGCGCTTTGCCGGGCTCAGGATCTGGCCGTTGCAGAAATTGGTTTTGTACTCTATGGCCTTCTAACGGCTAGCCTAGATCAGCGGGTCCAAAATGGGTGGAAAACCACTTTTGACATATGTCATTCCGACTTGATAGATAGCCGAATTCATTTGGGAGCAAATGCTTTCCCTGAGAGATAAGAAGCAGAGAATGTTTTTACGCAGTGTTGAAGGGCTGTAGCAGTGGACTGTCTGGTATCTGAGGTGAACGATGATAACGCACTACCGGAAGCATGGAGTGCATTAAATGAATCACTAAGATTAACTGCTTTATTGAAGTGGACTTATTTATGACGAGCAGATATTATTTCGATAGTGGGTAGTTTGTTCCGAGTCGAGGGCGAAATTAGAGTGGCTCAGAACATTCTAGTGTAAGTACTAAAAGTTCGTCTCCATTTTAAAATGGAAAGAACGAAACAAAGAAAGTGCGGGTGATCGAAGTACGTAACACTGAGCTATACAGGGCAACTACAGGGGAGCAAAAGTGGTCACCTGCCAGTGAAGGGTACTGTATTAATTGTTATAGGTTAGGCATTTACGTTTTCCTTATACTGTGTGCATGATCCGGCTCGGATCCGGATGATGGTAAATCGAAAAAAAAAAAAAAAAACCTTAAATTATTGCCAATATGTTGCGCTACTTTAGTTGCTTCGGGACAAACAAACTGTACACTATACGCACCAGGTGGTTTTTTGTTTTTATATTTTTTAATAAGGCTGGAACGTCGCAACTCTATAGGCATAACTGGTACATAGCAGCGCTTCGCACCTGCTGCTCACTGTGTCGGATTCCAACTTAACGATAGACGACACAGTTATGCAAGCATAAACCCTTAACTATGATGGTCATTTCACGAACATACAAGCAGTCCGTTCGATTGTATTGATAGAAAACCGTTTCATTTAGTTACCCATGCGAAATGATGACTATACACAGTTTGCTGGCTAATTTGTGGCCAAATCTATAAGTAT